CACAGAAGGCCCGTGACGGGGGTCGCCGGCAGCCGCGACCACCCTTCGACTCGCCCAGGTCACCAGTTTAACCTCCTAACCCCGCTGCGCCCCTTCTCCCGCAGCCCCAAGGCACCCCTCCCGCGGAGTCAGCCGGCCGCCCCCGTTGGGAAGATGACAGATTTTTTGTCTTCCGACCAGCACCCGGTCTTGGTCATCTGCCTCCCCAGGGCCAGGCGCACCCAGTGCTTTCAAAGCTCTCCCCAGCCCCCGCTTGACTGCCTTCAGGGGTCAGCTGAAGTGCCCTCTCACTGCTGCCTGCAGACCCTTCTCCCAAGCAGTGGGGCGCAGGCCCTGAGCTGCTCTGGGCATGCCCTAGGGGGGCCCTAGCCTACAGGCCTGCAGGGGTGTAGCCTCCCTCCTCAGGATGGGGGACATCCTCCAGGATCCTCACCCTCATCTGGGTGCTGTGGCCACGGGTGGAAGGGAGCCCTGCTCTGGCCACCTTTCTCGAAAGGAACTCGGTTGCTAGCCAGTGGTCCCAGGCCACTCCCCCACCCCCAGCTTACACACACCCCCCCATCACCAAAGCCCCTGCCCTCTCTCCCACCCCCATCCACTCTGGACTAGAGTCTAGAATCCTTGAATCCTGGGAGTCAGGTCTCCACCCTCTGCGATCACATTCCTTTCTCCAAGAGCTCCAGGCCCTGAGCAAGGAGGCGGCCAGGCCTCTGCTGGGCGCAGGGCTGACCTCTCCCAGAGTCCATGCCGGAGGCTTCTCCCTACCTCTGCCCCATCCAGGCGTGCGTGGCCTGCCTGGGTCGTGTGTGACCAGCCAGCGAGGTTTAGTGGCTTGGTTTTACAACCAGCTCCCTGCGGAGCGAGGCAGTTGGTTGGCTCCGGTAGTTGTAGCCTGTGGGAGCCCGTGACGCTTGGTGGTGCCTTTGGCCGCCCTGTGAATTCCTAGTCAGGGTGTCCATTTCCAAGGCGAACTTTGGGCCTGGGAGCTCCAGCTACCAAAGCTGTCTCCCGGCTTCACCTCCGAGGGTTTTCGGCGCAGGCCTTGTGGGGAGGGAGAGAGGCAGGGTGCCTGGCCCGGTTTCTGAATCTGGTGATCTTGGATGCCGGCTAGGCAGCCGCCCCTCTCCCCCCTCAGTTGACTCTGAAGCTCCAGACCCTGGTGGACGGCAGAGGTGTCATGAGCAGTCCCTGCAGCCCCAGAGATCTGGCTTGGAAGTGGCCGGTCACTACCCCCGGCTGCTTCCACGTGAAAAGGAGCAGGCCGGGGATGCTTGGCCCACGACAGCCACTTAGATGACCACAGACCCCGTCACCCTCCCTTCCCATCTCTGCTTATCTCCAGAGGGTCCCTCATGGCCCACGGCCCCCCTTCTTAGCCCGGGGTTTGGGGGGGAGTTGCTCCCGCCTGTCCTGTGTCAGGACGTGGGGTGCTTGATGCCACCGGGGAGGGAGGGAGAGCCGACAAAGGGGGCTTTTCTCTGGCTGACACAGCCGCTCCCAGAGTCTTAAAGGGACCCATTGAATCACGAACTTGGCTTTCCGGCCTTTAACTCCAGGCGGCAGCTCTCAGAGAGCATCAGCTGGGGCTGGCCGGGGGAAGACTGCGCAGGGTGGCCCAAGGGCCTCTTGTGAAAACTCCTCATTGCACAAGTGGTGCCACCCACTTGTCGGTGAAGAGCCCAGGGCGCCCTTAGTGAGAAGATGGGATGGGACTTGTCCCCATGGTTCACTCCTGTTTCCTGGCCGTGCCCGAGCCCCTTTCCCGCCAGGCTCTGTGGGAAGCTTTTTGACGGCACTGGGTGGCCGGAGGCAATTGGCCTGCAGCTCCCTCTGTTGTGCCTTCTTCCCTGGTGTCATTTTTGGCTCGTAGTGGCTGTTGGCGGCTGTGCCAGGGAGGGGAGGGTCCAACGTTCACTCACCCTGGGCACAGGTCAGCTGGTTTTGCTTGACTGGCCCTTGCATACGGCACCTCTCACCCTGTCCAGCATTCCCAGCCTGTGGGCCACTGGTCACTTGGGGGATGGGGCCAGCGGGCTACATGAATTCGTTTCCCTTCCTCCCCACTGGTGGCCAGGCCCCATCAAGCCTGCGGCCCGCACACAGTGACAGAAAGGGTCAGTATTTTCTCTGCCCACAATACCGTGCTCAGTTTTGCAAGGAGCCTCTTTCTGTGTGTTCAGCAAAGAACCCCAGCCATTGGTCTGGACAGCCCTTCCTGGTCCTGGACGGTTCCGAGCTTGGTCTGGGACGCAGGCACACGCAGTGAAGCCCGGCCCTCCCGAGACGCTGGCCTCCCTGAGCCTTTGCTCTTGCTCCAGCCAGTTTTGACTTTTCAAGCGCTGTGTGTCTGCTTCCATCCCCCCTGTTGATACAGGTCCGGCGTGTTCCCCTGTCCCCTGGGCTCCCCCGCCCTCTGTTGGCCCTTCACCCCAGCTGCTGAGTGAAAGGGAGCCCCGGGACTGGGCCCCGGAAGCCACAGAAAGGGACCATCGCTCTTGGGTGTGTACATTCTTGGGAACATGGCCAAGGATTGAGAATTCCAGGATGGAATACCAAGGTCCCCATGTCACACTGCTGTTTCCCCTCCTGGTTGAGCGGTGACCGAAGGAGTCAGCAGCTTGGAAGCTGACCCTTCAACCTCTGCGGGGAGAGTGAGGAGGGAAGTGCTGATGTGGGTCCCTTCAGTCTCTTGGCTGGGTTCCCAGTGGGGAGCGTCTGCCCGTGGCCTGGCCACCTTGGCCACCACGACGGTGACAACAGCCCCTAAGCTTCGAGCTTCCAGAAAGGAAAGAGTCGATAGAAGCCGGCATTACACGCCCGGCAGTCCCCTCTAGGGCCGTAATAACGTGGCCTGGCTGTCGCTCCTGCAGGTTCATGTGTGCCCAGCTGCCCAACCCCGTCCTGGACAGCATCAGCATCATCGACACGCCTGGCATCCTCTCCGGGGAGAAGCAGCGCATCAGCAGAGGTAACCGCTGGCACCCTGCCAGGTGTTGGGGGTGAGTGGGCTCTGGGATGCTGACCTGAAGTTTCTGCCCCCAGGCTCTCGCTTTTTTCTTCTGCCCACGTGGGCACAGAGGGCAGGAGCTGCCTTCCTGCCACGCTTCCTGGGCTGAGCTCACAAGAGTGGTTGGGGTGAGAACCCTGCCAGTCTCCTAGCCCCCAGGACACGCTGGCAAGGGCAGTGGCAAGCTCAGGGGCTCCGAGCTGGAGCTGCGCATGGGGCTGGGAGCCAGCCTGAGCCCTTGGCAGAGCCAGCCCTCTGTCTGAGGTTGCGTGGCCGGGGGACACGTGCTGTGTGGTGGCCACCGAGGCCTCGGTGCTGTGTGCGATGCAGGCTTCCCATGCGGCCTGGGTGCGCAAGGGGTGCATGTGAGGCTGCCAGCTGCCAGGCTGGAGGCTCAAGCCCACCCAGAGGGCCTTGGGAGCAGGGCCTGGGGGTCTCTCTCCTTCCACAGCCACAGCCTAGAAAACCTGGCAGGGTCCTGCTTACACACGTGGGGTCTCCGTGAGGCAGCATGACCCCATGGTGGCCACCAGCGGTGGGGTGCTGGGGCTCACTGCAGGAGTGGGCACGCCGGGCTGGACTACACCACACAGCCGGTTCAGGAGGGGCCGGAACTGGGTAGGAGGATGTCGTGTGTTGGGAAGCTGGATAGAGGTGGACCCACGTGTCCTGTCCTGCCCTGCCACCGTGGGAATGAAATAGGTGGCCAGCCAGTGGCCAGGCCCATTTATGACTCGCTTGCAAATTTCTTCTGGACCCCCAGCAGGGCCGGTTGTGCGGTTGGAGCCGATAGCCCGAGATCAGGAGTGGTCTAACCTCTCCCGGGGCTCTGAGGGCTCAGGGGCCCTCTGGATGGTGAGCCGCCTGCTGCTCTGTGTCTTCCAGGCAACGCTCTCCCGGGAATCCCAGGGTAGCAGCAGCCAGCTCCCGGTCTAGGCTCGCTCCACCCCTTCCTGGGAGCGGGAGGGGGCAGGTCTGGGACCCTTGCCCCACCCTGCCTGGCTTCAGGAAGACACCCGATTAAGCAACGGTCCTACCGCTGGGTGTGCAGGGCTGGACCACTGGAGTCCCGGCCCCCTAACCGCGAGTTCCACGGTTCAGACCCACCAGCTGCTTGCAGTGAGAAGGACGAGGCGGCCCGCTCTTGAACAGATGCGTGGCTGCGGACACTCGAGCTAGGGCCGTTATGAACCGGCATGGACCTAGCCGCGGCAGGTTGGTGTTTGAGCTGCCTGCGAAAGAACCGCGGAGGCAGCGGTTCTCAACCTTCCTCATGCCGTGACCCTTTCATACAGCTCCTCATGTTGTGGTGACACCCCCACAACCATAACATTTATCTTCATCGTTACTTCATCACTGTCATTTTGCTGCTGTTATGAATTGGGTGACCCCAGTGAAAGGGTCATTCAGCGCCCAAAGGGGTCGCGACCCACAGGTTGAGAACCGCTGCTCTATGGCGTTGTCTTGGGCACTACTGACTCCATCGGGTAGACACCAGCTCGGGGTCTTTCGCAGGGTGGGTCCCCAGCTGGCCGGTCAGTGGTGGTCACCCCGTGGGCAAGGGCAGCCTGGGCTGACTTGTGCTTAAGTGATGAATCTGCAGCAGTTGGAGATGCTTAAGTAAGCACAGCACGCGTGTGCTTCCCTCACTTCCTGGAGAGTCTGCCCTAGGGACTTTGGGCCCAGAGGAAGGTGCTTTGATGTGGTCAGTGCTCACCACAGACCAGCCAGGAAGCACAGGCGCCCACGTGGAACCTGCATGTTGTGCGTATGGCACTGACCCGGCGAGCCCACATCTTGGGATACGAGACCCTGGTCCACAGAGAGAGGCGGACTTTCTTCCCAGCATGCCGCTGGCCTTCGGAGCAGGGAGTGGAGGTATTTGAGAATGATGAGGGTCTAGGATTTGGTGGCCCATGTGGCCTGAAGAACCGGCTGTTGTCCACGCGGTGCAGGGGCCCCCACTGGGCTTCCAGCCTCCAGCCCAGAGCTCCGCAGGCTCGAGTGGTCAGGAGCTCGGGTCTTGCTCATCCCCTCAGCTGCACAGGCGAGGAAGCGGGAGGGAGTGGGGCAGGGCTGTGAGGTCCCTGGCCTTCCGAACCCCCAGGAGCCAGCTTGCCCCACTTCCAAAGACAGGAGCGTACGTGCGCACTCGCGCACACACCCCGTTGGGGGAAGGAGCCACTGGTCAGACGCGCGCCTCCTTGCTGACTGGTGGCGGGCTTCCCGTGGGGGGGGTCACGGGTAGGCGCCTTCTCTGTCCAGGCCTGGGCTTGCGTCTCTGTGACGCGGAGCACCTGACAATTGCCGGGGGGGACAAGGCACAGGTGTGGTGTCCAGGTTTTGGAGACATCATCAGGAGCCACCTCAGACGTGCTGGATGTGGACACATGGGTGGTGACCGCTGAGTGGACAGGACAGGAATGTGCTGCTTCACCCTGGGACCCCGCCCTCACGACCTGACTGCCTTCAACACACAAACACACACACACAGACAGGAAGTCCACAGTCAGCCTGTGGCTCCAGGCTCTCTGCCGACTGACGATGTGGAAAGCAGGTGTTTCCCTCCCAGAGACATGGGGCCAGTGGGCAGCATAGGCCCCAGGCAAGTGGCTGCCTCTCTGCGGGCCCGTCTGCCTGCACACAGTGGACATGACGTCCACCCCAGAGGGCCCCCCACCATCCCGCTTTTTGTTCCCTTCTTCCCGGGGTCCCCGAGGTGTGCAAGAAGTTCTCCCGGGAAAGATGGAGCCGCCGAATCTTACACAGCCAAACCCAGGGCCCTCAAGTCAGTCCCGGCTCACTACCCCCCAGGGGCAGCTCTGCTCTGTCCTGTGGGGGCACGATGATTTGGAATGGAAGACTGGACAAGAGCAGGTTGGCTTTTCGGGTTCAGGAGGCCCGGCCGTGCGGCGGCTGCTCTGAGCAGCTTGCAAAGATAAGGCGCTCCCGTGTCTGCAGCGGACAGTGACCTTTGGGGACAGCTTCTCTCGCAGTATGTGCTGCCTGTGACTGATAAGGGGCATTCCAAAGGGCATGGGGGCCCGGCCGGGCAGGTGGCCTTGGCCCCCGGGGCTGCGATCAGGTGCCCAGCCCAGGCCTTCTGACGGCTGTCCGAGGCCCCACGAAGAGCTCCCCGTAATGTGCACAGCTGCCAGGAAGCGGCGACTCAGCAGGTGTGGAAGTGGACTTAGGAAAGGCTCGCATTTGCCCCAGATGACACCTCGGCCAGCCCGCGTTGCCCTGCTGAGAAGGGCTGCCTGGGCATGTGTCCAGAGCTGGACCCCCATGCTGGGGCTTTGAGCAGCACGCTGGCCTCTTCTTGTGCCCCGCCCGCCTCCATCCAGACATTTGCCCTCCCACACCGGTGCCCTGCTGAGGGGGCTGCTCCCCAGGACCCCCTCCTGCCCTGCTGCTGTCCCCTGGAGCATTGGTGTGTGAGAGTTAGGAAAGGAGGCCCCTCCTGCCCACTGACCCAGAGGTGGGTGCTCTCTGTTGTGGACAGTCTTCCCGTGTCCACCCGGGCCTTATCGCCGCAGGAGATGCTGCATATGCCCTGGTGCCCTCACCTAGAGCTGCATGAGGACGCCCCAAAGCCTACAGACAGACAGACAGAACAGCCGTCCCAGCCTAGCGCTCACACCTGCCCCCAGACCCTCGGCTGCCTGCCGGGGGCTGCACTGGCCGTGCTGGGCCCTGCACTCAGTGAGGTGCTGCCTGAGGCCTGTGGACCTTGGCAGCTGCTGATTGGGCACCACTGCACATGCCCCACGTGGTCAGGCAGGACCGCCCCAGAGGGTCGCCTCTTCCTCCTCCAGAATCTCCCGGCCCTTGCTTGTGCAGAACCTCTGGGGGGCTCCAGGTGCAGCCCAGTGAGTCACAGCGTTGCCAGCAAGTTGAAAATGAAGATGCTGAAAAGGAGAGGTCTCCTCTCCTCCACCTCCCCACCCCCATCCCCCACCCCCCCTGGGAGGGAGACCTTGTTCTGAGCAGCAGCCCCTCCCATCCTGAGGAGAGTGCTGAGAGGAAGTGTTGACTCAGCCGGGGTTTCCCTTCCAATTCCAGGACCTACTTGCTGGGGCTCCCGGCTTCAGCTCCTCGCCCGCCCTCTCAGAACTCCCTCTGCAGCCCCTGCCCGCGCCGAGGGTCCTGTGGGGGTGTGGGCTGCGTGGCGGCTGGTAGCAGACTGCGGCGGCGCGTGCACAGCACCTGTTCGCCGGCTTTGAGCACGTTGGCGGCCGGGGTGGCAGCTGGCCCGAGTGCCACCGGATGCTGTGTTCCCCCGGGGCCGAGGCACTTTCTGTGAAGCAAGCAGGCCTTGCCTACGCCCCCACCTGCTCCCAGGGCCCCAGACGCCGCCTGTGGATCAGTACTCAGGCAGGCATTGTTGAAGCATTTCCCACCCGGCCCTCCATGGCCCTGGGACAGGAGGACACGGGCCCAAGGCTGATATGGAGCAGAAGGGAAGGTTCTGGCCGCCAGGGTGGACCTGGGTCCATGGTCCTTCCTCCCCCTCCCCCTCCTCCTCCTCTCTGTTTCTTATCTGTAGGCCGGGTTTCCTGGTGGTGCTAAGGTTGAAGTGCTCAGCTGATGACCGGAAGGTCAGCCGTGTGAACCCCTCAGCTGTTTCCGTAGAGCTGTCCAGGCTTGGAAGCCCGTGGAGAAGCTCCGCTCCAGGTCGGGGCTACGTTATGCGTAGCGCCCTTGGCGGTGCCAGCTGTGAGCGTGCTCGGCCACCACGGGGCCCGAGGCGCCTCAGAGGAAAGGTCCGACCTCCCTGCACAGAACCGCACCGGGAGCCACTGTGGACGCCTGGGTCACCGCCAGGTGCCCTGTGCACAGAGGGTGGCGCAGCCCTTGTGTCCAGCTCCCTGGGGGCTGACGAGTGTGGCCAGCCGAGGGGTGTTTCCCCCTCACCCTGAAGCCCTGCCTTTTCCAGGACGCCACATGGACAGGGTTGCCCCACATGCTGCCTCTGTCTCCCTGTGGGCGCAGCATGTCGTGCTGGCGTGGCCCACCGCCCACGTGTTCATGGGCGTCGCTAGTGCGTGTGGTGGGGCCACATCCCGTTGTGTTGCCGACGTAAGATGGCTTGTCCACCACCTGCTGAAGGGCATCTGGACTGTGTCCGATGCGGGCAGTTGTGAATAAAGCCGGGGAGGCTTCGGGGTCTCACACTGTGTGAAGGCCCCCCCTGACTGCCCTCGTGTCTGGCTCAGGCGCTACATGCCGCCCTCCTGGGCCATGAGACACTCCCAGGCCCTTGAAGCCCGCATGGCAGAAAGCACAGTGGCCTGAAGGCAAGTCCATGATTGTCCATGTTCTGGAAGCTTTTGGAACGTGTGAGGCAGCACTGGAACCACCCGTGCTCCCGAGGTTGCGATGGAGTAGGGCCAGGACCCGTGCAAACAGCTCCCGTGCCTGCTCTGTGCTGGGATCGGGCCTGACCCCGGGCAGGAAGGCAGCGAGGCAGGGGGCCGGCCGGCTGGCCGACCGGCACCTGGAGAGAGTGAGTTGCCGCTGGGAGCGGAGCGGAGGGGCTGCAGGAGGCGGCTCGGGAGTAGAGCCAAGACAGAGTGGCTGAGCCAGAAAGCCTGTGTAAATACCACCCTGAGCGGGTGGGATACAGCTGGCGTGGCCCGGCCTCCATGGGGACCTGATTTCTTTCCCTCTCTCTGTCCTCACTGGTCCAGGACTCTGGTCTTGACCTGGACGGAGGGCTTCCCCCCCAGGGCCGGCTTGTGGCCCTGGGGGCATGCAGTTGACAGTCTCCCCCTGCCCCGGCTTCAGGTGTGGAATTGCTGTGCGCTCAGGGCGTCCGACCCAGTTCCGCTAGCCACGTCTTTCTGCCCCCACTTGGCTTCCAGTGTAGCCTGACCTAAGTCCGAAGGCTCCCTGAGTTGGAGGTAGGGGCGGGGGAGGTGGGAGACACGCTGCTGGGGCTGTTTGGATCTGGTGACTTTGGCAGGCTCCCCTTGTCCTTGTCACCTGCGCCGAGCTCCAGGCTGAGCCTTGGGCCAGCGTGGCCGAGCATGTCATTGCCTGCACCCGGGGCTGCTTGGGGCCCAGCCCTCAGAGCCTGCGGAAACCTGGCGCCTCTCAGACTGCAGGAGGCCCACGCCCGAGGTGGCACAGGGTGAGCGCGAGGTGTGACCTGTGGTGTACTCCGCTGTCACCGTGCCGACATGTGGTTTCCATAATGGGAAAACACAAACAGGGCAGTCATTGCCCTGCAGACAAAGGGATGATGGCAGCCTGAGGCCTTTGCCAGAAGCTGGTGGGAGGGAGTGTCTCGGGCCCAGGCGGCTGGCCGCAGTTCAGGGCTACTCACGGTGCCCCCCCTTTTGGTTGCCCTTGCCTTGCCCTCGCCGTCACGGGCTGGGAGGCCCAGCGGTGGGCTTAGTAGGAAGCTGGCCCAGGCGCCCCATGCGATGTCCCAGTTCCCAGGCCAAAGCTAACATCAGGATGTCCCTGCGCCGCAGAGGCACCTCTGGCTGTGCTGCCGCCCCTGTGTGCTCGTGGTGGCTGAGGTCCCAGCCAGCTCTGCCCAGGGGAAGTGAGCCCCGTTCTTTCTGCTGAGCGAGGAGTGCTTTGCCCCTGAGTCATGCTTTCTCAGAGCCGCCTTAAAAGGCCACAGCTGGGCTTTGGGAAAGTCCCCAGGTTCCATACTCCACCCTGCTCGCCCCCCCACCCCAGCTCCTCCTCCCCGTGTCCTGGGACCCTCGCACATGACCTAGTCCGAGTGTCCCTCGTGGCCCTGCGTTTGGGAGCCGGCCGCTGCCGTGTTTGTTGGCACTGGCCCAGGAATAGGCTGCTGGATGGGTCTGTGAGCACTGCGCTCGGCCGGCCCGGCCGTGCGCGGGCTGAGTGCAGGCTCCAGTCCCTGAGGAGAGTGCGGGGACCCAACCCGACACCGGGCAGCACAGATAGCGGAGGCCGCAGCTGCTGACGAGGTTGGTGGGTCAGACAGGCCCAGGAAGACAGGTCTGGCTGCCTGCTGCCCAGAGGTCACCGAAGCCCCTGGAGCACGGTCTACTCTGACACACGTGGGGTCCCCACAGCTGGGGCAGCTCCACAGCAGTGAGGAGGGGTGCCATCACATGGCTGCTCTAGTGGGGGCCCGATTAGAATCCTCTGCATGGGAGCCAGCACCAGGGCCTGTCAGTGGCCGGACTGCCTGCTCAGGGGCCCCCCTCATGCCTCTGGGCTGGGCCGGTGACTGCATGCCTGGAACCTGACACTACCTTGTCTCATCCTCTGGCCCGGCCAGCATAGCACTCAGGGCAGGGTCACCAGTCCCTTTATCTCTGCGAGTGTCATGGTCACACCAACAGGTATACATAGGTGCATTGTGTATGCTCAGGTGCGGGAGGCAGGTACGTGTAGGTACATAGACGTGCTCAGGTAAGGGAGGCAGGTACATACTCGTGCTCAGGTACACATAGGTACATACGTGCTCAGGCGAAGGAGGCAGGTACACATAGGTACATACACGTGCTCAGGCGTGAGAGGCAGGTACGTGTAGGTCATAGAATCCAGTCAGGCACAGGCGGCCACATGGACAAGGGAGTTGCACAAAGTCTGCGGGATTAGAGGTTCACAGGGAATTTTCCCACAGGTGCTTGGCAGCGAGCTCCTCCTCCACAGGTAAGAACATGTCGCGCAGAGTGACGATGGGAACCTGGGGTCACACGAGCTCCGGAGGGCAGTGCAGGCGCCCACCCAGCCTGCGCCTGGAGCGAGGCCCAGAGAGGGGTGCTCGCCCTCTGAGCAGACGGTGTTCGCTACTCACCAAGCCTCAGACACGATTGGGATCGGGCTCCAGGGCACCGGAGGGGACACGCCTGGAAAGCCTGCGCCACCAGTGACATATCCGGCCAGAGGGCTCGGCCAGACAGCACCCAGGGCCTGTCTGCCTCCTCCAGCACCCATCCCCCCAAGGCTCAGCCCTGCCAGCAGTCACCCAGCTTATCCTCGATGCCGTGCCTGCGCCTGCTCTGCTTTGCTCCCCAGAGGGCACGTGCCCACTGCTCCAGCCTGGGGGGTGGGGGTGGGGGCTTCCAGGTGCTGAGCGGGAGCGCGTTTGGTGTTGGTCTGTCAGCCGCCGGGCCCTGCTGACCCAGGCTGTTCTCTGTAGGAACAACTGCTCGGACTCACTCCCTGGGCCTGGGAGAGGCACGGGTGTCGACAGGACACACACTAAGCTGCTCTGAGAACTCCCACTGCCATCGAGCTCCTTCTGACCCGTAGGACCCTGTAGGGCAGGTAGAACTGCCCCTGTGGGCGTCTGAGGCTGGAGCCTTTGTGACCGCAGAGAGCCTTGTCCTCCCACAGAGCAGCTGGTGAGCCTGAACTGCCTGCCATGCGTGCGGCCCAGCGTAGGCGCAACATGCCACAGGGCGCCTCGGCTGCTGCCAGACTCAGCCCTCAAACAGTAGCAGACAGGGTCCACGGCTGCGTGGACCGGCAGCTCCCGCCTGTGGACCGGCCGCAGCGGTTGCTCCAGCTCTGTTGTCACGTCTGCATCCCAGGGTGAAAGACATGCAGTCTCGGGGTGGGGGCGGGGGCATGAGTCCTGCTAACACCAGAGAGCCCTTTCTTGAAGGGAGGGTGTGATTCGGGGTCTGCCCCAGAAAGTGGGGCTCCCTCAGTTGGTGGGAAGCAGCACAGAGCGGAGTTTGGAGCTTAGGTTAGTCTCGCCCAGCAGCTCCGTGGCAGAGCTGTCTTGGCGACGTGGAGAAGGACGGGGTTTGCAGGGCTCCTTGGGCTGGGGGTGTGCACAGTGCACCCTGCTGCGGGGCAGGGTCAGGGAGGGAGCTGCTGTCCCTGCTGCAGCAGCTCGGCACTGCCGTCACAGCGAAAGCAGCCGTCCACAGTCCACGTGCGCTCGGCTGGGCTCCCGTCCACCTTTATCGCTGAGCGCACATTTGGCCGCAGGCTGCTGTGGAGAGTAAGTGAGGCCCATGCAGAATCCGGCCCTCGTGGTCCCTGGGCAGTGCTTTGTCCCCCCGCGGCAGGCGGGCGTGCACACGTGGACTCGAGGGTTGCTGCTGTGGTGCCTGTCCATGCCCGGCTTTCTGGACAAGGGACTGCCCTGGGGGCTCTGCCCAGGTGCTGGCCAGATGGGTGCCTTGGGGAAGTTGACAAGAGGGCTGGAGGCCAAGGTGGACGCCCGAGCACCCAGGCCCATCCTGCCCCGCAGGGTACGACTTTGCGGCCGTCCTGGAGTGGTTCGCCGAGCGCGTGGACCGCATCATCCTGCTGTTCGACGCCCACAAGCTGGACATCTCCGACGAGTTCTCGGAGGTCATCAAGGCGCTGAAGAACCACGAGGACAAGATCCGCGTGGTGCTGAACAAGGCCGACCAGATCGAGACGCAGCAGCTGATGCGCGTCTACGGGGCCCTCATGTGGTCCCTGGGCAAGATCATCAACACGCCCGAGGTGGTCCGCGTCTACATCGGCTCCTTCTGGGCCCAGCCGCTGCTCATCGCCGACAACCGCAAGCTCTTCGAGGCCGAGGAGCAGGACCTCTTCAAGGACATCCAGTCCCTGCCCCGCAACGCCGCCCTGCGCAAGCTCAACGACCTCATCAAGCGGGCGCGGCTGGCCAAGGTAGGCAGGCCTCTGGGGGCCGGACCACGTTGACCGCCAGGGGCTGGGCTCTATGTGGTGGTGGTCACTTGACTGCGTCTCCGCTCTGTGATTTCCTGGACGCCCTGCCCGCCTCCCCTCAGTGACTTCCACGGAAGAGGCTCCCCTGTGCTGACAGTAGGGAAACAGAAAGCAGAAGTTAGTTACGCTGAAGCCAGGGAGCCGGGCGGGGCTTTGGCCTGGCTCCACGTCCCCAGCTTTGCCTGCAGCAGGGATGGTGGAGCCCTGAGTGTGCCGGCCTGGGGCTGGAGATTAGGGAGGTCATGGGGGGTGACACACAAGTCCCCCTCCTCCTGGCTTTCGTCAGTCTTAACGAGGAGGATAGAACAACGGTCAACAGAGCAATAAAGCTGGGCTGCAGGGCTGGGGAGCTGCCTTCAGTGGGTGGTCCCCAGGCCGGAGGCGGCTCCTATGGGGCCAGATGGTTGAACTGCTGGGGCAGGAGGAGGAAGAAGCGGTGGGGGGTGGGGGGTGGCCTCGGGACGCCTGGGAGGCCCTCCCCATCATGTGCCAGCACCTGAGGGCCGTGACTTCTGCCTCGGGCTGGGCTGAGGACTCGAGGGGGACCCTGGAGGGGGCGGGGCTCCATGGTGGTGCCAAATGCCACCAGGACACTGGGCCTTTGCAGACGAGGTGGGGTGGAGCTGCAGGGAGTGGCCTGGGACCTAGACCCTGAAGAGCCAGGAAACCACCCAGCCCGGGCCCGACCCTTCTGCAGGTGCCATGCTGTCAGCACAGGTGGGGTCCTCATGAGGTGGCCTGTTCCTGGACTCAGCACCCTCTCTGCTTACAGGCTGTGCTGTCAGCCGGGACCTCCACCGGGGGCTGGTGTTGGCTTACTGGGCAGAGCGAGCGATAGGAACACGGGGTGGGGGTGGGTCTCGGGAGGTGGAGGATAGTTAAGGGGACCGAGGCAGAGCACCGGGCCCCAGTGCCTGACCCAGGCTCCAGCCCAGGTACCCCTACCCATCTTGGGGACCAGTGGGTAACCTTTGGGTGCTTGTGGCCTATAGGAGAGCCAACCCTTCACCCCTTGCAACCATGCAGCCTCTCCCTAGATGGGGCCTGAAGCATGTTCTCAGGCCCCACCTGAGCCCCTCCCCCAGGGTCTGAGAAGGCTGGTGTGACGGGACTGGCGAGGCCCGGCAGGGCAGCTGCTACCCTGAGGTCGGGCCTCACCCAGCTTGCTCACAGCCTTGGCCGGCTGAGTTGGCACACTAGCTGGAAAGCCCCTGGTCCCCACGTTGGCCCCCTGCTTGCTCTTTGTAGAGTGAGTGCCTCCCCCTGCCACCAGCCCCTGAGAAGCCCTTGATCTTCCTGGGCAGGGGTGGCTTTGGCTGAGCCAAGGGCTGTGGGTGACTCGGCAGCAGACGTGGAGTTGTGGTCCCTGAGAGAGTCCAGAGGCCCCTGCGGGGACGTGTGCCTGCCGCCTGCATGGACAGGAATAGGGGGACCGCCGGGGCAGAGGACCATGCTCTGGATACTGCAGGCCAGATGGACCCCTTAGGGCCCTGGCTCATCTGCTTCTGGGGCAAGTCGCTGCCCTCTCTGGGCCTCAGCCTTCAGATGGCACCCGGACCTGGCCCTACAGGGTCCGGTGAAGGGTGACTGGTCCACCTGGGGGCAGCTGGAGCCCTGGTGGCCCAGCGATGCAGCACAGTCGCAAGCCTGAGGAGGGTGGTTTGAATCCACCGGTCGGCTTCCAGACAGACTCCGCCTTGGAGGCTGCCGGGTTGAGGGCCAGGGCGGTCTCAGGGTGTCTGGGAGCGCCTGTGGTCCTCAACAAGCAGCCTCGCCCGGTCAGCAGGCATGCCTGCTGCCGAGCTGTCCCTGTGAATCGTCCAAGATGGCGCTGCAGGGGCCTGGGGCCACTGCCCCCATCCTTGCTCCCCAGCAGAGCGCACTGCCCGGCGGGGCCCAAAGGGCTTCGTTGTGGGGCAGCCTGAGACCTCCCCTGTCCCCAGGTGCACGCCTACATCATCAGCTCGCTGAAGAAGGAGATGCCCAACGTCTTCGGGAAGGAGAGCAAGAAGAAGGAGCTGGTGAACAACCTGGGCGAGATCTACCAGAAGATCGAGCGGGAGCACCAGATCTCCCCGGGCGACTTCCCCAGCCTCCGCAAGATGCAGGTCCGCCCGCCGGCCCCGCCCGAGGGAGCCACAGTGACTGGACCGAGGGGAACGGGTGACTCATGCCGAGTGTGGGGAGGGCCGGGCGTGCCAGGCACGCCGTAGCATCACGCTCCCCCAGCCTGCCAGGAAGCCTGAGCCGCAGGGATGCCCAGGCCAGGCCGCCATTGCCAGCAGGGGTGGGCAGTGGAGCGGGCCTAGACCCCCCCACCCCTGGTGGGGGTTCTGGAGGGAGGGGCCACCCCACCCAGCCCTTCTTCCTCTGCCCCTCCCTCCCCTGCAGGAGCTGCTCCAGACCCAGGACTTCAGCAAGTTCCAGGCCCTGAAGCCCAAGCTGCTGGACACGGTGGACGACATGCTGGCCAACGACATCGCCCGGCTGATGGTGATGGTGCGCCAGGAGGAGGCCCAGGCGCCCTCGCAGGTCGTCAAGGGTGGCGCCTTCGACGGCACCATGAACGGGCCCTTTGGGCATGGCTACGGCGAGGGCGCCGGTGAGGGCATCGACGACGTGGAGTGGGTGGTGGGCAAGGACAAGCCCACCTACGACGAGATCTTCTACACCCTGTCGCCCGTCAACGGCAAGATCACGGGTGCCAACGCCAAGAAGGAGATGGTCAAGTCCAAGCTGCCCAACACCGTGCTGGGCAAGATCTGGAAGCTGGCCGACGTGGACAAGGACGGGCTGCTGGATGACGAGGAGTTCGCGCTCGCCAACCACCTCATCAGGGTCAAGCTGGAGGGCCACGAGCTGCCCGCCGAGCTGCCCCCGCACCTGGTCCCGCCCTCCAAGCGGAGGCACGAGTGACGCCCCGGGGCCGGCGTGGGGCGGGTGGTCGCCATGTCCGAGGTCCATAAAGACTGAGCCGCCTCCGCTCTTCTCCAGCAGCGCCGCCATCTCTGTCGTAGGCTGTCCCCGGCCAGCGCCGGGCGCCAGGCTGACCTCGAGTGGAGGGTGGGACTGTGTGCACGGGAACTGCGGATATTTTTAATATATGACGTATATAATGTTGGAGGCAGTACTCACTCTTGCCTCCTCCTCTGTCTGGCAGCCCCGCCTCCCCTGTCCCCCGACGCACCTCCGTCCACCCATCCCCCACCTGGCTGTGCAGACCCAGGCCTGGTTGGCCGGCTGCCACCAACACAGGAGCATCCAGGCCACCTGAGCCGAGGGTGGCCTCTTTTGCCCTGGGGTCTGGATGAAGTTCATACTCGTGCCTTTGCCCCCCAGCAGACCCCAGCCTCGGCTCTCTTGCCCTGCCCCCAGAGCCTCTCCCCACTCACATCACACAAGCAAGGCCCAGCCCCCTCGCTGGGGCTCAAGGGTAGGGTGTGTGAGGAGCTGTCTTCCAGGAAAAGGTATAAGCTAGATGCTGCTCCCCTAAGGGAGGCCTTTCATACTTGATGGGCTTGTCCAGGAGCACCCGGCTCCTTGTCAGAAGCTGTGATGCCTGTGCCCCATCCCGTCTCCATCTGGGAGCCGGTCGGTCAAATGAGGCCCCCTCCCTGCCCTGCCCAGGACCCCAGAGCTGTGTTTCCTGCTGGGGAGGGGGCTCTCCCCGCTCCTGCCTCGGCCTGTCGATCCATAGGGTCCCAGCCCAGCCTTCGGGATCCCAATCTACTGGAACTAGCTAGGTTCCCTCCAACTGAGCCGGGGCAGGGGGGTGGTCCAGGGCTGCCCCAGCACTCCCTCTTGCCCCCTCCCAACCCCTGGGGCACAGGAGGGTGGCAGGGGACATGGGTGTCCCGAGCACCGCCCCTAGGCTGAGCAGCCAAGCGTTGCCAGCACTGGCCCGGCATCAGGACCCCCGCCACGGTCACTGCACTGGGCCCAGAGCAGGTGAACCGGCCTCCCCACCCCCAG